CCCTTTTGATTTTGTTCCTCCGCTCGAGGGGGGAGTCTGACGCTCAAGCGGGGACTATGGTCTGCAAAACTTCTGGAAGTGTGCATCCGGCGCTCAAGCGGCGCTTTTGACGCTCAAGCGTGAGTCTGTGTCTAACGCTCGAGCGGGGCAACTTTTATATCGGTCCAAAAAGTGACATTTTGGATCACTTTTTGATTTTTCTTTTCTCTCCTACTTTTTCAAAACCTCCATTGGAGAGCACCTCACTCTAAAACTCCAACTTCTCTCTAGGGTTTGATCTAGTAGGAGTGATCTTCTATCCTTGAGCCTTTCTAAAAAGTGTGGAGATTGTTGAGGGCTACATTTTGATCCGAAAATATTGGGGTTTGGAGCACTTTCAAATTTCTTCATCTTCTCCTTTGAGCTCCGAATTTGAGGTAGGGATAACTATTCATTTTTATGGTCTTTGACATAAACTATTGGTCATTTTGATGTAATGTTGAAGTTGGGTAATTTTGGGTGTTAGGGTTTCAAAATGAATAAAGAGGGGTTTGGTTATTTTGACTCATAAATGTGTATCTTGGGTCTTAAAATGATGGTATTGATGTTGTTGATGATATATGGGACCTTTGGGTCATTGTAGAAAAAAAAGGGGGAAAGCCCTAAATTGTAGTATGATTTAATTTAATTAACTTGAGAATGTTATAGAAATATGGAATTGAGTTGGAAATAATGAAATTGGCTCATTATAAGAGGGAATGGTGGAGTTGGATTTATTAATCGCTCACTTATGAAATTGTTGTCAAATTATCTGTGGATGCATTTATTATCTATTTAGAAATAAATTGCTTTGGGCTATCGGTGGAGGATAGTCTTGATTGTTGTAGACAATGCATGCTGATTAGGCGAATTAAAACTATTCAATTGATTATGTCATCGAATATGACGGTTGGAATAATACACCAAATTTATGTATTGACTGCTCATGTATATGATATGTGTTTATATACATTGTGTTGTGTGAGAAGAGATAGGGGATGCACTCCACGGTTTAGGGGAAGATAGGGGATGGACTCCTAAACCGGATTTTATTTGGGAGGAGATAGGGGACGAACTCCATTGATACAGCAAATCTGTGTATCATTTATGAAGTATGAAAGTGTTTTAACGTGTTATTGATACAGCGAATCTGTGTATCATTTATGAAGTATGAAAGTGTTTTGATGTGGTATTGATACAACAAGTATGTGTATTTATTGTGAATTATAGAAGTGTTTTGATATGAGTTATAGTCTCATTAAATTATTTGCCAGGTTCTAAGCCTTATTCATAAATTGAGAACTGGATGAGTAATGGAAAATGGAATGAAACATGGACATGTTTGTCATGGAATTGAAATGCGTTATAAGTTGGTATTTATGAGTTAAACATTTATCGAATGCTAATGTTTTAGTTATTGCTCATATTATGTTTAGCATATCTCTACTGGGCGTTGGCTCACCCTATATGGGACATCATTTTTCAGGTTCAGGTATTATGCCGCCTCCGAGGTCTTAGCTTGGATGGTTGTGGGAGTTGAAGGCTCTTGTTTATTTTGTGTATTACATGTAAATCAAGCCAAGGGCTTATTTTGTGCTTTGAGTTAGTACTCTCTTTTTGTAACCAAGTGTCGACTTGGAAAGTTGTAAGCCCATAGGGCATTTACTTTTGATGTCAACATGCAATACTTTTGTAATGAATACTCTAATAAATAGAATTATGCTCTATTCTCTTAAGTATATGGATGTCTCGAATGTATGACTTATGGGTTTATTTTGAGGGCGTTACAATAAAAGCCACTCCCTCTCTAAAGTTTTGTAACAATCTCTACATCTCTGTCTTTTTTCCCAAGAATTACAATGGATCAGAAAGTTCTTTTTTCTCAACAACCACCGCAATCCAAAAAATACTCAAAATTTTCTCGGTTTTTATAGCGATCCCGATTTTTCCTTCCTTATTTACTGTATTCCGGACTCGGTTCCGTTGATAGCTGTGGTTGTCTGTATTTCATTTCTGTCCTTTAATGCTTTGGATTGGAGTTTAGAAATGTCTTGGGCGTGTTTCGAACAGGTTGGTTGAGCTTTAGTCCCATTCCTTGTTGCCCCGATTTTTGGTGGTCCGCTCGAGCGAATCCATTCGCGCTTGAGCGGAGTTTGCACACCTTCAGTAGTTTGTCTGTCTGACAAAATACTGCAGATGTGTTTTTCACGCTAGAGCGGATTTCTTTACGTTCGAGCGGGTCGCGCTCGAGCAGACCTTTTTGCGCTCGAGCGGGTGTTCTTTGTCTGTAAAAGTATTGGAAGAGTGTAATCTACACTCGAGCGGGTTTCCCTTTGCGCTCGAGTGGGTGTGTTTTGCAGTTGTGTCTTGACGCTCGAGCGAGTATTCTTGCGCTCAAGCGGGTCCAGTTTTTGTGCTTGACGCTCGAGCATCCTATTCTTCGGTCGAGTGGACTAGTCGTATATCAGATTGCAGCTGGGTGATTTTAAATCACTTTTTCAACTCTCACTCTCTCTATTACTTTTCAAAACCTATTTTGAGAGCTTCTCTTACTACATTTCACCTTCTCTCTAAGGTTTGATCTAGTTCTAGTGTGTTTCTAGCGTAGTCCGTTTGTAAAAAAGGTTGTGCTTGGTGTGAGCTTCACTTTGATCTGAAAATCTCTTGGTTTAGGGCACTTCAAGTTTTCTTCAACTTCTCCATTTGGTCTCATCTTTTGAGGTAGGGATAACTTCTCATTTTTATGAGCTTTAACCAAAATGTTGAGCTTTTTGTATAAATGGTTTGGTTTGGAAAGTTCGGGTTTGAGATGTGTTATATTGGAAAGAGGGGTTTTATTCTTTTGATTCAAACATTTGTGTTTCGGGTCTAAAAAGGAGGTTATTGATCACTACTACAAAAATAGTTAAAGATCACACTTTGACAAAAAAAAAAGATCTCACTTTTATTGAAAGTGTGATAAAAAAAATTAGGTTGATACTTTAATCACACTTAATTTGATTGAGTGTGATAATATTTATTTTTTATGTCACTTTTCAATTAAGTGTGATTATATATATATTTTTTAATCACACTTTCTAATTAAAGTGTGATTATATATACACTACTACTTTTTAATCACACTATTTAAACAAGTGTGATTATATATATATTTTTTAATCACACATTCTAATTAAAGTGTGATTATTTATATATGTTTAATCACACTTTTTAATTAAAGTGTGATTATATATACACTACTGCTTTTTAATCACACTTTTTTAGTAAGTGTGATTATATATATATTTTTTAATCACACATTCTAATTAAAGTGTGATTATTTATATATTTTTTAATCACACCTTCTAATTAAAGTGTGATTATATCACTATTACAAAAATAGTTAAAGATCACACTTTGATAAATGAAAATATCTCACTTTTATTAGAAGTGTGATAAAAAAAATTATATTGATATTTTAATCACACTTAATTTAATTGAGTGCGATAATATTTATTTTTTATGTCACTTTTTAATTAAGTGTGATTATATATATATATATATATATATATTAACCCACTACAACAAAACTGAGTTTTTACGGCTTCACATCAACGACATACAGTAAATGCAAGCCGTGGTTTCTCACTTTTACGGCTTGTTTTTTTTTGCATGTCGTAAATAATTTTTCAACCACGACATGTCTATTGTGTAGGTCGTGAATGCTAATAACAATGACTTTTTAAAGGCTTGCAATGTTAGCCGTAGATAATAAAACTTTTTATAACATGCATATGGCATGCCGTTAATAAATTAATTATAAAAATATTGAACATTTCACGACGCACAAAAAGTCAGTCGTTAAAAATTACACTTTCCACGACGTACAAAAGCCAGCCATTTAAAATATTATGCTTTCCACGACACGCAATTGCTGTCGTGAAAGATATGATCAGGAAAATAATAATAATAATACAAAAATGTTTCAACCCCATTTTCCCCCACCCCCTTTGACCCCCTCTCTCTCTTTCATTGGTTACATTTTTTTTTCCTGCTCCTCTAATCACCATCCGCCACGTGTGTATGGAGTGATAGAGGTGGCGATTGGAGGAGGTCTCTATCATGGCTCATAATAATAATAGAATAAAGGTTGAGACCCCCTTTGGGGGTCACCCCCTTGACCCCTTTAGTTTTGATTGGTCAACTTTTTCTTTTTTTATTTTTTCTTCTCACCCAATCCCCAACCTCCATGTGTGTGAGAGATTATGGGGTGGATGTTCTAAGGGAGTCTAAATCAATGCCCATAATGCCAAAATAAAAATTTCGAGCCCTAAAATGAAAAATTTAGCGGCAAATTAAGCCCCCCAAAAAAAATAAAAAATCCAAAACAACACCAGCACCATCAAAATTAAAAGAAATAAAAATGAAGAGACACATATGGAGAATAAAATAACCATTTTCTCCATCATCAACTGAAGTTCGTCGGCGACCAGTGCTTCCGTCGGCTACTATTACTTCCATCGGCCTCCTTTTTTTTCCATTGTCAGGTATGTAATTACATCATTCTTTGTATCGCAGTGGCTCTTCTAAGTCCTCTTTGTCCAAATTTGAGGTAATTCGTGATGAGGCATAAGGAAATTGAAGCCAATGCCTCAACACTTTGAAGCTATTTTCTGAATCTTTGAAACTATTTTCTGAATCTTTGAAGCTTTTTTTTTTTTTTTTTGGGTAAATGAATCTTTGAAGCTATCTAATATCTATCTATGTTTTTCTCGCATGGCCCTAAAGTTGTTCAACATCAATCGGTTTAGGGTAAAGAGAAGTTGTGACTTTTATTCTTGAACAGAGCTTCGATTCTTCTTCTTCTTCAACATAGCTTCGACTTGCAGCCCTAACAGGTTAGTTTCAACGTTTCTTCTTCTTCTTCTTCTGCTTCTTCTTCTTCTTATTGTAATTTGAAAATACTGCTACAAAGTTCGGTTTTCATTATTTATTTATTTATTATTGTCATTATTGAGTTCAAGCATGTGTTGTTGATGAATTTCACCTATCTTTCTCCATTTTTCTAGTTTTGTTTTTTAATCTAACATTGTGGTATGAATTACTTTTGACAAATTTGGTCAGATTTGTTAAGTTGATCCCAGTCCTCCTAAGGAAGATGGCTCAGAAGAATGCCCTTGTTCGGAAATTTCCTAGTGTTGAAATTCTTGGTTGCACAACCGTGATTTGTTCTCAGCTTCATTCTTCATCTCAATTGATGAAATGTAAGGAAGCTAGTTACAAGGGTTTTGATTTTTCTGAATTTTCTTTTTCAATTTTGTGGCTGAGAATCTGTAATCTAATGATGAATTATGTGTTAAGGGGAGCTAGTTACAAAGGTTTTGATTTTCGTGGATAATTTTTAAATCTAATGATGAATTGTCTGTTTACTTTGTCATATTCTATTGAGAATTTGCCATATTTACTTCACAAATGATTATTCTCGTAATTTTCTACAATCCTCAGCAATCAAAATAGCATTGATTATTATTATTATTATTATTATTATTATTATTATTATTACTTTTGAATTGAAATATAAAGTGCTTTAGTAGATGTTTAATATTCTGTTGGGAATGGACACATTTCATTATGCAGGATAATATGACAATGGATTTTGATGAGAGGTACTTCCATGGGAAACCACAAAATAGCTTCCACAAAGCAGTGAATATCCCTGATGTGGCAGTTTTTCCAAGGTGAGATTGGGCTTTTTTTTAACTTGGAAACTATAATTTTGTTTATTTTTATAATTTGGCACTTGTATTTATTTTCATTATTTTCCATTTTTGTTGTGTTGGTCCCAGTTTACACCATGAGCTCGTGCATTCAAAAGAAACGCGACATTTTATTTGTTCACTAAATGCTCATAATTGATATGTCGCTTCTGTTTTCATCTACTCTTGAGAAAATCTATGTATGATGCAGTTCCTATTTTAGCTATTGATAGTGGACATAGATTTGACTTGTGTCTTGAATTTGTTCATTATTGATTCATAGGCTATTACTTCAACATTTCATGATATACATAGAATTTTCGTCTAACTTGAACTAACACATGCAGTCCTTGGTGTTAGTTTGGTTGTTATCACAAATATGAGATACGTGATAAGACTGTCTATTGTAAAGATGGTTCATCAAGCTATTTTTTAGTAGTCCTTTCTCCATTTTTTTGTGGTCTGCTCTGTAGTACATTGTGTAGTGTATCCTAGTTTTCTCTCCAAAATGCACCTTAACTGTAGTTTGTGCGTGCAGGAACTGTAGTTTGTGCAAGTAGGAATGCAGAGGAAGTGTCCAAGATAGTCAAATCTTGTAACAAGTATAAGGTCTGAGCTCCTTGCTTTTGAGGGTTGTCTGATTTTTCTCTTTTTCTTTCAATTGTTTTTTATTGTTTTTCAGTTGCTAATATATAATGTGAATGGGTTACTCTTCTTTTACGCATTTGAGTTTTGGGCTATTAGATTGTTCAAACTGATAATTATTTGTATCCATTCATTAGGCATGAAAATCCAAATTTGAAATGCAGAAAAGAACCAAATATAATGATTGTTTTTATTTAACATATACATATTCACTATAAATAATTTTGACAACTGGCTTATTTATTTGAACTTTTCTTTTATTTTTTTTATAATTTATTTTTTGGTTTAATTTGATGAGCAGGTCCCTATGGTGGAGCCACATCACTCGAGGGTCATACATTATCACCTCATGGAGGTGTTTGCATTGACATGAATTTGATGAAAGTATGAGCCTGTTTCTTGTTATAAATCACGCCACATGATTTTAAGGCCCCTTTTATCAATAAAATTTAGTTTATTGACATTCATTAATAACTTGATTTTGTTTTAGCTATCAACCATACATTTTGGTGCTTTCTAATGCATTTTAATCTCAACATAGGGTTCGCATATGTTTGTTTTATAATGGAGATTATTTTGAATACTTTTCTTAGGTCAATTTTGGCCCTTTGGTGATATAATGTGTAGTTCATGTCACTTATGTTTCACTAGGTGCAGGGATCCCATTTGTAGATTTTGGCTCAATCAATAAGGCCTACTTGTTTCATGTTAGTGGTGAAGCTTGTGCAGGCTCACCTTATTGTGAATGCCTTGGAGTGGAGACTTTCTACTAGTTTCCTTTCTTGTGAGCCTCTCTCTCTCTCTCTCTACTTTATTTTATTATTTTTTTTTGCAATTTTTGAGTTATATAAATTGTGATATCTTTTGTTAATGGAACCAAAATGGCTCTCTCTCTCTCTCTCTACTCTAGTTTTTTTTTTTTTCCAATTTTTGAGTTATATAAATTGTGATATCTTCTGTTAATGGAACCAAAATGCGTTCTCTGTATTGTCTACAAACATTTTTTTTTTTAACTTTCCTTCAAATTTTTTATTTTATATGATCTTTTATTCCAAAAATCCTAAATAAGATGATCCAAAATCTCAAAATGAGCAATTTGTTAAATGGGATTTGTATTTGAGATGATACTATCATCATTGCTCTGCCAATTTCTTAAGTACCCATTCTAATTTATTCTAAACTTTGAGTAGGGTTAACTGGACATAAAAATAAAAAGGGCATTCAATATTTGGTGTTATGAGCTCACATCGACAACTAAGGTGTTCAATTATTTTTTTGAGGGATAAAAATGGCATTCTAATCAGCTCAAGATGTTGATTTTTTTTTTTCGAAGGTGACAATTGATAATCCAAGCAACTCAAGGTATTCAAAAATTTCTTTTAAGGATGAAAAATATAGAAAATATAGCGATCTCGGTTGTTCCTTTACTGTTTTGTTGTATTCCGGACTCGGTTCCGTGAAGTTGGTAGTTGTATCTATCTTGTTGTCGTCCTTTAATTCCGCTTGATTGAGTTTTAGGGTGTTTTGGGCAGAGTTGTTACAGGTTGGTTAGGCCTTGGTTTCAATTCCTTGTTGCCCAGTTTTTAGGCGGTCCGCTCGAGCGGGTATTCTTGCGCTCGAGCGGGTATTGCACACCCCCAGTATTTCGAGTCCCTGCAAAACTTCTGCAGGCGTGATTTTTACACTCGAGCGGGTTTCTTTACGCTCGAGCGGTAGCGCTCGAGCGGGTTTGTTGGCGCTCGAGCGGGTAGCACTTTCCGGGTATAAGTTCTGGGAGGGGGAAATCTACGCTCGAGCAGACTGGTTTTCGCGCTCGAGCGGATGTGCTTTATTCTTGTGTCTTGGCGCTCGAGCGGGCCTTCTTGCACTCGAGCGTGTCCAGATTTTTGTTCTTGGCGCTCGAGCGTTGTGTTCTCCGCTCGAGCGGGAATGTCGTATATCAGTTGGTAGCTAGGCATTTTAAAATCACTTTTTGCATTCTCTCTCTCTCTCTTACTTTCTAAAAAGCCATTTGAGAGCTTCTCTCTCTAGAACCTTGCCTTCTCTCTAGGTATTAATCTAGCAAGAGTTGTTTCCTCACCTTTGGCCTTCACAAATAAGTTGTTGATCGTCGAGGGCTATCTTTTAATCCGAGAAACTCGTGGTTTGGAGCAAGTTCGTTTCCACCATCTTCTTCGTTGGGTGTCATCTTTTGAGGTAGGGATTCCTACTCACAACTATGGGTTTTGACCTAGATATTTGGGTATTTTGTTAAATGGTTGATTTTGGGAAGTTAGGGTTTGAAAATGTAAAAAGGGGGTTTTGTTATTTGATTCAAAATTATGTGTTTCGGGTTTCAAAATAATGATGTTGTTGTTGGTTGTTGATATATAGGCCATTGGGTCAATATTGGGAAATGGGGTGGAAAACCCTAAGTTGTTGAATAAATTAATTGATATAATTAATTTGGGAAAATTGTAGCTATGTGGAATTGAGTTGGAAATAATGAAATTGGTTCATTATATGGTTGAATTGTGGAGTTAGATTTATAAATCCCTCACATTTGAAAACATTGATATTTTATCTGTTGGAGCTTTTATTATCTGTTTAGAAATAATTGCTTGGGCTACCGGTGGAGGGTAGTTTTGATTGTTGTAGACAATGCATGATGATTAGGCAAACTAAAACTAATCAATTGGACAGTAGGTTTTTTGCTCTTTGGATTGGGTATGTTGTTTTTTTTTCCATGATAAACTCTTCACGTACTTGTCTATTTGCCCAGTTTTTTTTATGCTCCATTGTTGTTGTCATAAAGTATGACGATTGGTAGAATACATTAACGTTATGTATTGATTGATTGTGTATATGACCAATGTGTATATACTTTGTATGTGTGTGGGAGGAGATAGGGGATGTACTCCACGGTTTAGGGGAAGATAGGGGATGGACCTCTAAACCGGATGTTGTTTGGGAGGAGATAGGGGATGGACTCCACTGATACAGCTCATATGCTTGTCAGATAATGTGTGGATATAGCTCATATGCTTATCTTTGGAAGTGTTGATATAGCTAATATGCATATCTGTTGAAATGTGGATATAGCTTGTATGCTTATCTGTTGAGATGTTGATACAACTAATAAGTTTATCTATTGAAAAATGGAAAGTGTTCGATATGAGTCATCGTCTCATATAAGTGGTTGGCCAGGTTCTGAGCCATTGATGTAAATTGTGAAATTCATAAGAAATGGAAACCGAAATGAAACATGAACATAGTAGTCATGAAATGGAAATGGAAATGGATTATGAATTGGTTTATGAAAGTTGAACATTTATTAATTGCTAATATCTTAGTCATTGCTCATACTGTGTTTAGCATATCTCTACTGGGCGTTGGCTCACCCTTTATGGGACATCATTTTCAGGTACAGGTAGTATGCCACCCCCAAGGACATAGCTTGGATGATGATGAGAGTTGAAGACTCTTTTATTTATTTTGATGTATTACATGCAAATTCAAGCCAAGGGCTTAATATGTATTGAATTAGTACTCTTCTTTTTGTAACCAAGTGTTAACTTGGAAAGCTGTAAGCCCGTAGGGTATTTGCTTTTGTTGATTAACATGTAATACTTTTGTAAGGAACTACTCTGATGAATAGAAGAATATTTATCTTTTATACCGACACATGTCTATGGTGATGGGTTTTAATGTTAATATTTCGAGGGCGTTACAGAAAATACATCCATTAAATGTATGAAAAAGAAAAAAGTTGAAAATGAATACCTTCTCACATGTGTGGTGCCGCCTGTCTACAAATATCATGCCATTTGTGTGTCTTTTGAGTTCTTATGTGATAATTAAATGTTCCAAATCCAAAAAACAATAAATAAAATAAATCAAACATAGAGAACACAGAAATACGTGATTCGGCCTAACGCCTTGGTCCTCCAGCCTCCGTAAAACATCCCTGCAGTAAATCTGAGCATTAAAAAATACACAACCCCTCACAGCACGAGTGTTATAGGCTGTTTGCAATGAGCATCTAATCTAACCCAATTTTTGGTTGATATTCTTAGTAGTTAGTTGTCTAATCTTATCTTTATTTATTCTTGGGGCATAATTCTTGGCACATGATCCACAGTCTAGGCTATAAACATGATGATTGATGCGAGGTTTGGTGCGAGTTAGTGACAGAGAGTTCTTGAGAATGCTAACAGGCCACTTTCTAGCCTCGAATACCTTCCTTTTGCAGAACAAATGAACAACTGGGCTTTTGCTTTTTCTTTATGATGATTCTTTTTCTTTTTTCTTTTTTTGAAGGGGGGGGTCTAGATCCTGTATAATGACTTAGCTTTTCTTTGTGGATTACTTTTTCTAATTGTTTTTGACTCCTCTAAGTGCAACATTTCTGCCAGATACATCTTGATCTATATAAAAAAAACTGCAGGATGTTCACAGAAGCAATATCTTCTTTTGTTTCTGTCCCCTAGCATGCCCATTATGTTCAAATTTGTGGTGGTGTTTATCTGAGGTTGCTTTCGTTCTTTAGTTTTTTTTTTTTTAATCTTTGCAATATCGTTTCTGCTTCATTGGAAGATATTCAATCTATTTTTATTTGCAGTTGGACCTCATTTATTCAATTTCTATCAATGCTCAAAAATTGTTTTGCATTTCTTTTCCTATGCTTGTAATAAAAAACAGAGTAGTTGTATTCTTATCTTTACTAATATTGTTGCTTCCTCCAGATACATGCATGATGAGCTAATTCATTGCAAGGTATCCATTGTTGAACCAGGAGAGTAACAAGAGTTGCTGAGGTCATATTCGAATCATTGATATGATTAGCATATACCCCACACTGAAGCTCCTCATGAAGCTCCAATCCTTTCAAGTGGTTACTTCCATTTTTATCCTATTGAAGCTCCTCATGAAGCTCCAATCCTTTCAAGTGGTTACTTCCATTTTTATCCTATTGAAGCTCCTCATGAAGCTCCAATCCTTTCAAGTGGTTACTTCCATTTTTATCCTATTGAAGCTCCTCATGAAGCTCCAATCCTTTCAAGTGGTTACTTCCATTTTTATCCTATTGAAGCTCCTCATGAAGCTCCAATCCTTTGAAGTTGCTGCAAAGCAATAAATATTGAGCTGAAGCAATTTTCTCATCATGAGTGTTTATGTTTTTTTAGGTTATGGTTGAGAAAATGGGACTTCCTGATGGATTGGATTCTGGTACATCTAAAGGTTATGGTGATGTTCTACGTAAGTTACAATTATAACTTATGTTTTTGTTGTTTACTAAACGTGTTTACGTGGCTGCTAATGTGTACCATTTAATTTTATGTAATTGAAGGTTGTTGTCGGACGTGGAGTAAGATTGCAAGACGGATTGCCACTCTTGAGTTTGACCGTGATAGGAAATCGATGGGAGTTATAGTGAGTTCCAGCTCAAGAAGAAAGTCATTGCTTGTAAAGGTGCATACACCACCTTTTCCCTCCCTCACTCTTCTTTCATTTAGCCATGTGGAGTTTTATAGTTTTTAATTTGATGTATTGTCACATAGGAGAAACTGATTTTCTGATAAGAATTGCAAAACTATAAAATGTGGTTCCACCATTTTAATCTTTGTTTCAATTTTTTTTGTCTCTTTGCTAGTATTTTTTGCAACTTCAATTTGTGTGCGAGATAGATTGTGAACAAATTTACTTGGAACTTTAATGGGGAAGAGTATGATGAATGGGTGCTCAATGAACAAATAGAAAAAGGGTTGATGGACCATGGGAATCTTGCTACAATTTCTACACTTCTAACACTGATTTGGAAGCACTATGTTAGATATGGAGAAAATATTTTTTGGTTGAAAAGTTCATATCTAATTTATAAAATGTACAAAATGAAAACTAGAAGAAGGTGAATATTGGCCCTGCGTGGGAAAGTAAACGTGTATGACATGTAGATGATTTTGGTTGAAAAATTCATATCTAACGCATTAAAGTGAACATTGATTTTGATTCTTTTGGGAGTTGTAGTAGATTGTTGATATCTATCTTATACCTCAAACACCACTAGCTTGTGGGATTACTGTTATTACTTCCTTTTAGTCTAGTATATAAATTAATGTATTAAATCAATATTCAATTATTGAACACAAGAATGACTGAGTAAAGCAGAGAAATATTTCAGTGAAGGGACTATCTAGTTTTAATTAATTCATTCAGCAGATTTTAGATTAATAACACATTTTTAGCAAATTTTAGATTAGTAGGAACCAAAGAATTGGGTCAGTAAAAATACGTTTGGACCTTTTTAGGTTCTGAAAATGAACAGAAATATGGAATAATAGGTTTACTTTCATTCCCAATTTCAGAATTTGCATAACCTAACCAGAATTTTTATCTATAGGCCCTACACCATATTCTGTCCAGATTTGACACACTTTTAGGAAAATGAGCTTTTGCATCAAAGTAAAGGGAGCATTTAATGCCAGAAATCAAACCTTTTGCATCAAAGAAAAGAGCTTGAAGTCACTTCTTGGGACTCCATATGCCAGGTAAGCCTGTTCATCAATAAAGATCCTTTTCTTTTGTTGATTTAAAAAAAAAATGCTCATTTAATTTGATTAATAGGTTAGTTTTTGATTAATTACATCTATACATAAATATACATATACGTATATGAGAATTAGGCAAAGAAATGCACAAATTATGTTTATATTATTGTATTGATAATTCTAAGAATGTTCATAACATGAAAAAACAAATACTTGTATCTAAATGATGTATTAATTTATCATATGTTATCCTCTTCTAAATTTATCATACTCATGTGAATTTTATTGTATAAATGAGGTGACAGATGGATCTAGTGGCATTCACCAGGCTTCTCCACAAACACATCAGAGATCCTCTTTGGGAAGTCATGAAATGCAACCTTTTAATCGGGGTAAGTATTTCACTTATATATATATTTTATGGAATAGAAAAATCAATATTTTTCTCTTTTTCAATGTCATTTTCATGTTTCAAGTAAGTCACCATTACAAATTTTAATATCAACATCAATCTCTAATATGAAATCAAAAAATAGACCCTTGGATGTTTTTGTTGGTTAGTTGATTAGTGGCTGCTACAAACCCAACCTTTGGCATTGTTTGCATGAAGTGGCTGCCCTCAGATTATAATCTACAGTCCAAGCATTTACCATTCCACAAAGAAATTTTCCATATATATGGTATCTACGTATGTGTATACAAACAGTGTAAAAGCATACGTACCTGTATATAAGCAGTGTAAAAGCATACATAAATGAAATGGTAGGTCTATCCCAGAACTTCCTGAATTCATGTCAAATTGAATATAGATTGAGCTGTGATCACTGTAGCACATATACAAAGAATGAGCATGAGATACATATATTACTCACCAATGTTACGGTAGGGGTTGGCATAGATTGCTCAGTTAGAAGATAGAATGTCATAGATTTAATTGACAATTATAGGTCATCCTTCTTTTTACGAAATGAAACATACTTTCACTCTTGGCAGCATGTCTGGTTGAATTGATATGATTTGTTAATTGAGATTGGGAGATTGTTGGTGTTAGTGTTTCATACTAGGAAGCTTTTCGGGTAGTTCAAGAGCTATTTCTTGAGGACAACAAGTAGAGATGATGTTACTTTGCTTTTCTGGGTTGAACTATTGGCAGTTTTATGTGTTTGGGTTGTTCAGTTTTCTGTTAAAATTATTAAAGCACTTGATGACTGTAGTGTTCTGTTCGACCTTAGTCTCACCACACAACCTCCAATCTTCTTCTTCATCACTGTACATATATATTGAAAGTGCCCAGTTTCACTTTTCCTTTTTAACTTCGAGATATTACCTATACAGGTTGCATATGTTTGATTGTTTGCTTTCAAATGTTTTATTTTTATTTTTTTCATTTCCTTTTGTTTTTGTTTTTGAACTAAATGTTGCAATTGTTGAATATATAAAAATTTCATGGAGCTTCTTTGATCTTTCAATAGAGATGCTTCGTCTCTGTAATTTCTTCATTTTTATAGAATCTTTATTGCTCATGAATGCTTGATCTGCACAAAATGTGATTCAAATACATGAAAATTGTAACTTTTTTATATATATAAAAATTTCATGGAGCTTCTTTGATCTTTCAATAGAGATGCTTCGTCTCTGTAATTTCTTCATTTTTGTAGAATCTTTATTGCTCATGAATGCTTGATCTGCACAAAATGTGATTCAAATGCATGAAAATTGTAACTTTCTTATAGATTAGCAGTTCAAGCTCTTCAGTTTTGATGATTTTATCTTCAGTTTTGATGATTTTATTGTGTGTTGTTTAATGATTTTTATTTTTATATTTTTTTCCCATTTTCTTGGGTGTAGAAGAAAGTTTGAAAATTTATAGCACTCTAATTGTTTGTTCTAAAGCCTAAAAACAGACTCATTGATGTCTTTGGTTTATCAAAATAACTTGTTTGAATTTTGACACTATACCCTTATTTGGTCTGTGTTGTTCTCAGTTTTCGATTTGTCGATTTGATTGGCTAATGGTGATATTTGTTTGTAACAGGGGAATTTAGTGCTGTTCTAGGAAAAAAACCTGAACCTTGTACTGCTTTTTATTCTTCTTACCAGTGCAGGTAACTCATGTTCATTGAATGATAAATTTTAGTGAAGGAATGCATTTTCAAAATTTTGGCATATTTATGAAGGGCTGTAGGCTAGGGTTGCCTAATTGTTAAGTGTTTTTGTATGGGACATGGACATTCAACACACCACAGATATCTGAAATGCAGTCAAAGTATTTGCACAATCAACATTAAATTGCATTTCTTTTGTAGAACATTAAATATTTGAGATGGATATAGCCTCTTAAATTAAGTTGTTGGTTATAGTAAAATTTCTGTTGAACTTGGAACTTCTATGGGTAAAGTGACATTTTGTTTTTACATGTTTCATGTCATGGCAGAGGTATTTAATGTTAAGACATTTGAAGGGGTGTGATTGGTCGGACTTTATCTTTTGTAAGACTAGAACAATCTCTGCAAATAGTTTGTTTATTCATATGCTTCTAGTGGTGTCTGAATTAATTTGTGTTTTTATTTTTTAGGTTAGAAATTTTTTGGAGAGATGCAAAATATGGTCAAAGAATTCAAAGACTTAGTTTTTCAAGTTTTTATTTTTTATTTTTTAATATATGTAAGCAGAGTCTAAAATTTTTTATTTAATTCTTTTGTTTATACTTTTGAACATATTTAATTTTCATTTAATATATGTAAGCACAGTCTAAATTCCTTTCCATTGAATATGTGGTTATGATTCAAAGTATAGTATATAGTGTGTATTACATTCCTAAAATGCGCGTACAAAAATAATATTGATTATTCTTCAAATATGTCGAATCTTTTTAGTAATTAATCACACTTAAAAGATATAATCCAAATGTTATTAATTACACTTGAAAGATGTGATTTAAAGTTTTTATCACGTGTTTTATTAGTTTTTAATCACACTTAAAAGATATGATCGAAATGTTATTAATCACACTTAAAAGATGTGATCTAAAGTTTATTATCATAGGTTTTATTAGTTTTTAATCACACTTAAAAGATGTGATCCAAATGTTTTTAATCACACTTAAAATGTGTGATCTAAATGTTATTAGTCACACTTAAAAGGTGTGATTAAAAATGACCCCTTTTAATCACACCCCCAAAGATCACACTTTAATAAAACTTAAAATGTGTGATTAAATAACAAATATCACACAAAAAAAGTGTGATCTTTATTTGTTTTTGTAGTAGTGGATGTTGTTGATAATATTTAGACCTTTGGGTCAATGTTGAGAAAATGGGGAAAATGCCATGTTTGGGTGTATGTGGGTCATTAGTGTAATTAATGACATTTATTATGGGAATATGAAATTGAGTGGAGAATAATGAAATTGGCTCGTTATTTAGTAGAATGGTGGAGTTGGACTTAATAATCACTCAAATTTGAGAATTATTGATAATTTATCTGTTAGTGCATTTTTTATCTGTTTAGAAATAACTGCTTTGGGTTATCGGTGGAGGATAGTCTTGATTGTTGTAGACACTGCATGATGATTAGGTGAATTAAAACTAATCAATTTGAGTATGTCATTGAGTATGACGGTTGGAATAATACAACGAATTTGTGTGTTGATTGATCATTGTATATGATGAGTATTTGTATACATGGGTGCCGAATCCCGCGGATGAAATTTCCGTAAAATGGCAATTCGATAATATCTATACATGGGTGCCGAGTCCCGCGGATAAAATTTCCGTAAAATGGCCATAAGAAAATAATTACACATGGGTGCCGAATCCCACAGACGCAATTTCCGTAAAATGGCAGTTTGGTGTATTGTTGGCATGAGATGTAGTCTCATCTAAGTTGTTTGGCCGGGTTCTGAGCCGTGTTTATAAGTTGAGAAGTGGATAAGTAAAGGATTATGTAATTGGCTTGTACTGTATGTTGGTTTATATGGGTTAAACGTTTATCAAGTGCTAATGTTTTAGTTACTGCTCATATTATGTTTAGCATATCTCTATTGGGCGTTGGCGCACCCTATTTGGGATATCATTTTCAGGTGCAGGTGACATGCCACCTCCAAGAACGTAGCTTGGGAGGCTTAATGGCTGAGAGACCTTTTTGATTACTTTTGTATTACATTTATATCAAGCCAAGGGCTTATTTTGTGTAGAGTTAGTACTCTCCTTTTTGTAACCAAGTGTTGACTTGGAAAGTTGTAAGCCCGTAGGGCATTTACTTTTGTTGTCAACATGTAATACATTCTGTAAGAATACTCTGATTTATGAAATGTGATATCTCTTTCTTGTATCATGGATGTCTGTTTTTGGGTTTATTTTGAGGGCATTACGGTTTCTTCGAACCATTTTCGGCAGCTGAGGCGGGATTTCGATCCAACATGTGGCCATCGCGAATTCTCCCACAGATTTGATCATAATTTATATGGATTTGTACTTATCTTTAATAAATATTTATGATAATTACACTTTGGCCCAGTTTTCTAATATAACTATATGAATAAATTAATCTCTAATTGAATTACACTCTATCGTATACTAACAGAAAATTAATTATTTATTTTACTACCACACCGATTATTATTATTATTATTATTATTATTATTATTATTATTATTATTATTATTATTATTATTATTATTATTATTATTATTATTATTATTATTATTATTATTATTATTATTATTATTATTATTATTATTATTATTATTATTATTATTATTATTATTATTATTATTATTATTATTATTATTATTATTATTATTATTATTATTATTATTATTATTATTATTATTATTATTATTATTATTATTATTATTATTATTATTATTATTATTATTATTATTATTATTATTATTATTATTATTATTATTATTATTATTATTATTATTATTATTA